TATAGGGGAAACAGATTAACGACGCGCGCTCTGGTGCAATACATTTGAACTAATGTAATCGGGTAACATTTTTATGTTACATTGATATTATTATTGATTAATGATAATATAAAATTAATTTCTATTTATTAAGTATTTAATAAGTACTTACCACTCGGTACATATATTATTATTTAACATCATGACCAATATAATATATTATGCCAATGCCATGCATAATGTATAATTTTATTATATTAACATAATAAATTCTCGAATTAACATTATTGTGACTACCATTATCCCAAGATTCATAAGTTAAAGTAAGTAGGTACTTAATTTAATGAATTAAACTGAAAAATAGTATTTATTTTTTACTAATTTAAACCATTTGTTATAGACACAACTATGACACAACAAAAGAGAAGCCATAACTTTTGCTCTGTGTTTGGTTGTAACTCAAGGTATTCAACTTGTGTAGGCATAAGTTTTCATCAATTTCCAAAAGAAAATCAAACAAAAATTATGTGGTTGAATAAGCTTGGAGTAGAAGAACTTGTTGATAAAAGAAGGATATGGGCAATAAATTTACGAATGGATAAAAAAACCTTACAAAAAAAAAAGATTGCAAATATGTTCAAAACATTTTACAGAAGATAACTATTTTTTTCCTAGGTTTGTACAGTCATATTAGGAAAGTTCCCTCTAACTTTATTTGAATGTTTTTAGTGTAGATAACTGTTTTATTTTTTTAATACTTATTAGTATAAAAGCAGAGAGAAAATGCCTGAAAAAAAACGCAGTTCCAAATATTAACTTACCAAAATCATCTATTCCATTTATTTCTCCAAAGAAAAGATTATCATCAAGAAATATTGCTTCTCCCAAAAAAAAAATATCAGTAGTAAGTGTAACAAGTGAACTATTAATTTTATTATAGTTTAATATCATGTTATATATATTTATGCAAATATGTTTCATTAACAAAACCCGTACATTTCAATTAAATGTAAAACATTTTGTTTAGAGTCCAAAAAAACTTGATTTATCCAGTATCACAGCTCATCATAATGTAATGTCCAGTTCTTCATTGACAGAGACTATAAATGACCAAGATCAGCAACAAATTGAAAGCATTCAAAAAATACTGGAAAACAAAAACGATAAGGAAGTTCAAGTTTCTATTGGGGATATATTTGTGCCTTTCATTAATTTAATTGATTCACAAAAAAAGTTAGTGACTATGACTGGAATTCCTACTTTTGCAGTTTTAGAAAAAATTGTAGAGATTTTTAGTGGGCATTATCCAGACACCAGAACACATCATTTAAGTATTAAGGAACGAATCATATTAATTTTTTTAAAACTAAAACAAGATTTGTCATTTGCAATCTTGTCAATTTTTTTTAAAAATCTTACTGCGGAAACTTGTCGATTAATTTATGTTTCAAATATTCCGTTAATTGCAAGTATTTTAAAACATATAATTTACTGGCCATCAAAATATGAAATTTTAAATAACATTCCATATTGTTTTGAAAAATTTACCAATACTAGAGTTATATTAGATTGTACAGAAATTTCTGTGCAACGGCCAAAATGCTTAACTTGTCGGATTAAAGTATACAGTAACTATAAGTCTACATTTACTTTGAAATTTTTAATTGGTATTTCTCCTGGTGGATTAATTACTTTTATTAGTGAGCCATTTGGTGGGCGCGCATCGGATAAAGCAATTTTTGAACAAAGCGGATTGATTAATAAAATGGAACATCCAGATGCTGTTATGGTGGATAAAGGATTTATGATAGATGATTTGTGCAAACAGAAAAAAATTGAAATTATTCGCCCTCCCTTTTTAAAAAACAAAAAACAGTTCTCCATGGATGAAGCGTTACGCAGTAAAGACATTGCAAGCGCAAGAGTTCATATTGAGAGAATAAATCAACGTTTGAAAACATTCAAAATACTTCAGAATAAGTTTCCATGGGCTCATGCACATCTCTCTTCAGATATTATGATTATAATTGGAGCCATTTGTAATCTGAGTCCGCCAATTTTCTCAAACGATAAATTTAATGATATTTCAGTTGACCAAGTACAATAAATATATTCATGTATTTGCATAAAATGTGTTAGGTAATATATATATAATTTGTAAAAAAATACAAAATAATTTACACATCTTTTATATCAATTTATATATATTTAAAATTAATTTGTAACAGACAATGACACATAATATACATCTGTAAATATTTATAATTATTTGTATTCATAACATTATGTACTTACACTATTTATGTAATAAAATTGTAGTATATTATATATAATCATCTAGTGTCTGATAATTTACATATTTCATGCAATAGTTTATCAAAGTAAACACATTTTAAACTTAAAAGCATACGTTTGCAATAGTCATAATTAAAATCTATTGGAATAACATTATAGATGTTATCAAAGCTGCTATAAATTATAAAATCACAATGTGTTACATTTAACATTACAAGCCCAAGTTGTATTTGTGCATAATATGCATGATTTTGTTTTAAGTCCAGTTCACCATTAGGTTTTTTTGTTATGTAGGATAAGTTATTAAGCATATCTAATTGACTTTGATATGATCCTTTATAAGGACATTTTATTTCAATTAGTTTTATAGGTTTATTGTTTACATCTAAAATCACACCATCAGGTGAGTACCCTAACCAAGGTGTTATTGAATGGGTAATAAATCCACATTCATAGACTTTTAAGCTATTAGTTTTTGAATAAAGTTGTCTTGCTATGCTTTCAAACTCAATGCCGTGCTTTACAAATTTGTTGGTAAATTGTTTTGGCCAAAAATATCTACTAGCCTTAAGTGCCCACTGTTTTTCAGTTTTTGGAGATTTATTATAGGTGTATAGTGAATAACATCGACTACCTGTAATTCTAAACTGTCTTACAACTTTCCAATAGACTTTATCTTTAAGAGACTTATTTCTTATATACTCTGTAGGTGTATCTAAAAGTTGGGAATATTTATCTAAACAGCAATTTTTTAGTTCATTGACAAAAAAATTATGGACAATATGAAGCAAACTATTAGGTGTCAACATAATTTCAAAATTAGTATCAGCATCAATGTTTGTTAATCTGCTTTCTTCAGTACTAATAAAATTTCTACCTTTAGTATGCAAAGATAAAGCTGATAATGGCGAAGCAAAAGCAAAAGCAGATCTAAAATGCATAAAATATAAAGCTAAAAAAAATAATATTCATTATTATGTAAGGTTTCTAATTTTAGTTATATACCTAATGTCTTCACCTGATAGTTCTCTATTACAGATTGGAACAATTATTGGTTTGCAACAACAAAATTGTTTAATTGGAACTGGAGAATATTGTTGTAAAGATGGTTCCCTTAAACGTGACCACTCACATCTAACATCAGTGGATGATTATGTATCAATATCAGATATTGGAGTTCTAAAAAAAATCATTCTACATTATCATAAGACTTATAATTATTTATTGGAATAAATTATAAAATTAATTTACCTATTTAAATATAAAAGTATTGCTACAACGTGTTTACAA